CAGCTCTGGGAAGTTGTTGGGCCCACACTGTGGCAAGCATTTCTACCTAGTTTCCTGGTGAGTAGCTTGCCAGCTGCCACATTGCGTGCCAAGTGTAGTCAGACTTTGTTTTTGGACTGCCAGCTCCCAAATAATGACATGGAGACTTCTTATTAGTTATGAAAGTTTGGTCTTAGCTTAGACTTGTTACCAACTAGCATTTTTGTTTGTTTGTTTGTTTGTTTTTTCAAGGCAGGGTTTCTCTGAGGCTTTGGAGGCTGTCCTGGAACTAGCTCTTATAGTCCAGGCTGGTCTCGAACTCACAGAGGCCTGTCTCTGCCTCCCATGTGCTGGGATTAAAGGTGTGTACCACCACTGCCCAGCTTCCTCTCCTGGTTTTAAGGAAGAGACTATGACAGAAATGCCTCATGTGACATTATTAATTAGAAGTGTGTATTCCTATAAAAGAACACCCATTAATTAGTTTTTATAGTCACTAAAATTGTCTGAATTCTGTAGCATGCCTCGACAGGGCCTCTTCCTTCCCATCATGGTGTAAGTCATGGCAAAAGCGAATTGCCTTCAGTTGTTCTGTTAGATTTTTTTTTTTCCTCCGAGACAGGGTTTCTCTGTGTAGCTTTGGAGCCTATCCTGGAACTTGCTCTGGAGACCAGGTTGGCCTCGAACTCACAGAGATCTGCCTGCCTCTGCCTCCCGAGTGCTGGGACTAAAGGTGTGTGCCACTACCGCCAGGGTCTTAGATGGTATTTTTTAGTGGTTTCACTTTGACAGTTTCGCTTCTTTGGGAACCTTGGGAGGCAAAGATTGACAAGATTGACTGAGATAGATGCTGCGTCTACATTTTCATTTGGTGCTGAAAATGCAGTGGTAAAGACCGTGGGGTGGCCTGAGTACAGGTCAGAATTCTTGGGAGTTTTAGGAGGATTGGTGTGTGATGAGGCTGCCGAGACCTACTAATACTTACTGAATCATTAAGCCATCTGGACCGTGATGGTGTGTTCTGCCTGTCAGGTGTGTGTTGAGACCACACCCTTGCATAGTGTTCAGTTCCAGAAACCCTACTTTACAAAGTATGGGCATGTCACATGTATGCAGAGACAGTCACCTGAACTGTCCCTTCAAATCACGGGATGAAAGGGACAGAGGGGTTAACCTGGATTTGAGGAGGCTGGGCAAAGGCTGTTGACAGATTTAGACAATAATAATAGAAGCAAAAATTGAGTGAGTGTGACCATCAGCCAGGCATGAAGGGCCATTTTATATTTTCTTACTTAATCCTTATAAACAATCATGGGATATGGACAATAATTATTATGTTTTATAAATAGGGACATTGAGGCCCCGTAGTATTTAAAAGGAAGGACACACATAGCTGGGAAGAAAGCTAAACTTGCCTTTATATTGTGAAGATCTAGAATCTTCCCTTTTTTGTAAGACAATACCTCATGTAGCCCAGGCTGGTGGAAACTCATTGTATAGCTGACACTGGCCTTGAGCTCCGGATCCTCCTCCCTTGGCCTTCCAAGTGGTAGATAGAGACCAGTGGGTTCCCCACACTGCTCACACTCACCTGTGTGCTGAGTGACGACTACTTGCTGGGTGTGTGACAGGGAACAGGGATTATATGAATTTTAATTTGTAACCCAGCCCTGAGATTTCAAGATCTAGTATGTTTTCTTGGTTGCCAGATGTTTTTTTTTTTTTTTTTAATTTGTTTATTTATCAGGCTGGGTGGTGTTGGCACACAGCTTTAGTCCCAGTGCTCAGGAGGTGGAGGCAGAGGCAGACGGATTTCTGAGTTCAAGGCTAGCCTGGTCTACTGTGAGTTCCAGGACAGCCAGACTACACACAGAAACCCTGTCTCAAACTAAATAAAACAACAAAAACAAACAAAAGACAAAACAAAAAAAAACAAAACAACAATAATAAAACAACCCCTTCCAATTATGTTTTGTCTCCATGTGTGTCTGTGAACCATATGTGTGTCTGATTCCCTTGGAGGCCAGAGGATGGCATTGGAACTGGCATTACAGACATTGTGATTCACCATGTGGTTGCTGGGAGTTGACCTTGGGTCCTCTTGAAGAGCAGCCAGTGCTCTTAACTCCATCAGGAGTATTCCTAAAATTTTTGTTTGTCTTTTAAGACGGAGGTTTACCATACAGTCTGGTAACTCGATATGTAACCCTGACCTCAGTTTTGTGTTGTTCCTCAATCCTCTTGCTTCAGCCTCCAGTGTTCTTAGAGTCAGAGACAGGTGGATCCTGGGAGCTTGCTGCCGGCCATCCGAGCCCAGAATGGCTAGTTCAGTTTTAGTGAGAGACTGTGTCTCAAAAAATAAGGTGATGCCGGGCGGTGGTGGCTCGGGCTTTGATTCCAGCACTTGTGAACAGAGGCAGGCAGATCTCTGTGAGTTCGAGGCCAGCCTGATCTACAGTGAGTTCCAGGATAGGCTCCAAAGCTACATAGAGAAACCCTGTCTTGAAAAACAAGAAACAAAACAAAAAAGAAAAATAAAACCAAATAAAGTGAGGATAAATGGAGGAAGATACCCAGACTTGACCTCTGGTCTCCACATGGGCACACACAGGCAAGTGTATCCAGACACACATGTATACACATACTTATAACACACACACACAGAGTGTCAGAGGGGCGGGGCAAAGAGAGCCAACTCTAAGCCAAGCATGGTATCACACAGCTGTAACCTCAGCATTTAGAAAATCAGGGCAGTTTCAGGTAGACTCAACTTGAAAGCAAATAAAAGACCAAATCCAGCCTTCACTGTTCAAAATGAATAACTTTGGAAATGAAAATAAAGAGAAACTTCTAGTTAACTGATCACCACATTACCTAAGTAATCTGTATTTTTGGAAAGTGCTAAGTGACACAGAGTGATCCCGTGGAATGTTTTTATTAAACAAATGCTAAACTTTATCCTCCAGGTTTCCCCTCAACATCTGCCTCCCTGTCTGTTTTACTGCTTCCTTCTGTGTGTTAGGACACAGAAGTAATTTCCAGAAGGACGTCAGCAAGACAGAGAGACCTGTGCCAGCACTGCTTCCTCAGCACTGGCTGGACTGTGTTTCCCTTTTGAATTCTTCGGAACTAAAGGTTTAACATTAGTTCTCATTAGTCACAGCTTGCCAGGCGGTTTCCAAAGAGGAAGCCTTCCTCAGCCGTAGCCTGACAGGAAGGCACGGCTGAGTAGAGTAGAGGTAGGGAGCAGACTGTGCGAACCAGCTTTGCGTAAGTCTGCCACCTCTCCCAGGACGTATGCTCAGAATAGCAGTTTTACACACCTTTACTGAAAGGTATTCTTAAAGGATATTCAGATTGCAGGACGATTCTGAGAAGTGCGGTGTCGTCAGACGCCTTCAGCTGGTGCGCAGTATTCAGCTTGCTGACTTGTTTCCATAGCGACAACTGGGAAACCATAGACACCCAGTGAGAGACAGCATACAGAATAGAGTTGTTCTAGAAGTTTACCAGGAACAATTATGCATCATGGCTCTGAGAAAATCTAGAGCAGGAACAGAGGTTAGGTGTAAGGGAAGTTTACTCGAGAGCCATGGCCCCAAGCTGGCAGTAGCTGTGCACATACGGAATCCCAGCACCAGACAGGCTGAGGTAGGAGGGTCACAGCAGGTTCAAGGACAGCCTGGGCTACATAGCGAGTCCTAGTCTCAAGTGAATGAATGAATACATGCGTATATGAATGAATAAAAAACTTTAAAAGTCTGAAGAGTCATGACCATCTTCATTAGTGACATCCGATCCGATTAAGAAGCTTCTAAGAGGAACAGATATATTTGGGCTGGCAAGATGCCTCTGCTGATAAAAGCACTTGCCAGCAAGACTGATGACCAGAGTTCAATCCTTGGCACTCACAGGGAGAGCCATAGTTATAGATTGTGCTACAGAACTTTGGAAGTTATTTTCCTGTCCAACTCAACCTGGTAACCATTGTCTGTTTTTTGCTTCTCTTAAAAAAAAAAAAAAGCATTTATTTTATGCATATGGGTGTTTTGCATATTTGTATGTCTGTGTCCCAAATGTGTGCCTAGTGCCTGAGAAGGCCAGAAGAGGGCTGCAGATCCCCTAAAACTGGAGTTGCAGCCAGTTGTGAGCTGGCTGCGAGTCAGGGCCTCCGAAAAGCATCCACTGAACCGTATCTCCAGTCCCACACCCTGTTTATGAGCCAGAGTCTCATATGTGACAAACTGGCCTTAAACTAAGCTGAGGATGATCTTGAATTTCAGATCCTGACAGTGTTCCCAAGTGTTAGGATAACAACAGACAGGCACCACCATGCCTGGTTTATGAATGCAAGGATCAAACCCAGGCCCTTTGTACATGCTAAGCCCGAATTTTACCTTAAACTGAGTATACCCAGCTTCTTTTATGTTTCTCAGAGACAGGGTCTGTCTTATTATTACATTTAAAAATTATATGTATATGGTTAGATGACAACTTACAGAAGTGAATTTCTTACTTCTGTTGTGTGGGCCCTGGGGATTGAACTGAGGTCATCAGGCCTGACAGGAAGGGCTGTCACCACCCACTGAGCCTTATCACTTGCCGGTGAGGCAGGGGTCTTGCTTTGTAGCCCAGGCTGGCCTAAAACTCATGGCAGCCCGTGTGAGCCATTATGCCTGACTGTCTGCTCTCAAGATTATTGTTTTAGCTCTCACATGGGCAAACAGGCAGCATGTATCTGTCCAGGTCTGGATTATTTTGGTTAACATGATATATTCTACTACCACAGTTTTTTTCAATTTTCTTAACCCCCAAAGACAATAATTATAGAACAATCGACTCCCTCGGGAACCCCGTGCCGGCAGCTGATTATACCGGAAGCCACTAAGGTCTGAATGATGTTGAAGCTAGACTCCCCTGCCCACCCCTTTGGTTGTTGTGATTTTGCTGCCATGTCAGCACACTGTGTTGAGGCTCTTTCCTTCCAGGCTCTCTCTGACTCTGTCCTTCTGTCTTTCCAGGGAAGAAGAGCCCGGACCTTGGGGAGTATGACCCCCTCACCCAGGCCGACAGCGATGAGAGTGAAGATGATCTTGTGCTTAACTTGCAGCAGAAGAACGGAGGGGTCAAAAACGGGAAGAGTGCCCTGGGGGACCTGCCGGAGCCCGACTCGGATGCAGACCTGGCTGGGGCCGCCAAGCCACATCTTTCAGAAGTCGTCCCAGAGGGTTACCCCTCGGAACCCCTCGGGGGTCTGGAACCGAAGGCCACCTCTTCCCTGGTGTCCTATGTGCGCACGTCTGTCTTTCTGCTGACACTGGTGATCTCGATGGTCCTGGTCCTCCTCTGCGCCTTCCTCATCCCCTGTCCTCCCAGAGACCTGCACAGCACCTGGAGCCGGCGCCTGGGCTCCCAAGGAGGTGAGTTGCGGGATTTTAAGACACCATACTTTAGCTAGGACATTCAAGTTTTTCTCCAAATAGTTCTGTTGTTTTGTTTTGTTTTTGAGACAGGGTCTCACTCTAACCTTGGCTGGCCTGGAACTCACTATGTAGACCAAGCCGGTCTTGAACTCACAGAGGTCTGTCTGCCTCTGCTTCCCAAGTGCTGGACTTAGGGCATGTAACAGTACGCCCAACCTAATTTCTTTTTTGAGCCAGTGTCTCATCACCATCATCCTGGCTGGCTTAGAATTCACTTTTTCAACCAGGTTGTTTCTGAATTTGTGACAGTCTCCTGCCTTAGCCTCCCAAGTGCTGTTTTCACAGGTGTGCACCAGTATGCCCGACTTTCCTTTCAAATCTTAAAAATTAACATGTGTTATGCAGTTTTTTCCCCTGCGCATGGAAGGAAGTTTGAAATGAAACAAAAAGCTGGGTTGCTGTGTCTTTGAGCCCTGCTCTAGCCAGAGTTCTCTGAAGACAGCTTCAGTTTACAGTGTCGGTGTGTCCAACCCCCAGCTGAGGAGATGGGACATTGCCAAGGCCTCTGAGTCTCCCGACCATATCCCTTCCTGCTCCCCGAAATTCTGCTGCTGAATTTAAGTTGATTTTTAATTGACTTTAAAGTTTTGCCACATTGGTATGTTCATTAATTTTGTCTCTTTGAATTTTATATAAATAAATAATCATAGTCTTCTGTGACATTTGTTCAGCATCATTTTTGGTTTTTGAGACAGGATCTCACTGTCTCAAAGCCCAGGCTGGCCTTGGCCTTAGAGCTTCCTGCCTTAGCCTTCTGAGTGCAGGGATCACAGCCATGTGCCACCACCCTGAAGACCATCACACCTGGGTTGCCAATACAAGTTTTGTGCTTGTTCATTTGTTTCTGAGATGCCCCCCCCCCCCCCCCCCGAGGTGTAGGCTAGTCTTGAACTCAGTGCTTAGTCAAGGATGACTTTGAATTCCAGGTCTTTTTGCTTCCACCTGAGGTTCTGGAGTTAACAGTACTTGGTGCCACTGACTTTACGTTTTTGGGAAAAAAGTTTTTACAGTGTTGGGGGTTGAAGCCAGGGCCCTGTGCATACGAGGTAAACATTCTACCACACTGCACATCACTTTTAAAGAGACTTTCTGAGACTAGTCTGTACTGATTCACTGTAGCTAGAGTCTTATTTTTTACCAATGTCTAATTTTCCATGTTATGAATATCCCACTATTTATCAATTCTCCTGTTGATAAGCAGTTAAATGATCTTTTTTTTTTTAAATAAGTGATTCCGAGAACATTTTTATATCTTTCCAAAGGGTTATGTACAAATTTCTCCAAGGCAGAAGCCTAGTAAAGCTGCCTGTCAGAGGGTGAGGGTGTGTTCTTTCTGAACAGTTTTTTTTACACTGTTGTACCAGCTTGTGCTCCCACCCTTGTCTGAGGTCCTACAGACCTGGCAGGTGTTCTCTCACTCCTCAGACACAGGAGGGGATCCTCCCTTGGCTCTGCTCCCCAACACAGGGCTGGGCAGAGCTCCAGGCCTCCCATCCCACTGCAGGTGGGATGCTCCTGGCTCCCCATGGCCATTTTGGCTTTGACTCTGGAGGGAGGGCAGGGTGACTTGATGGTGCCAGAGCAGGTTCCAGAAGTCAGGTCCCACAGCTGTGGGGTGGGGATAGGGCTGGTATTATCTATAATCAATTTGCCTTGCTGGGCTGTACCCTTTCTGGGCCTCTGGCCAGGGAAGCTAGGTTTCTTCGGTCTCCTTTTTCCCTGTGGCATTTCTGAGTTGCCAGTTGTTTCACGATACCTTGTCTAGTGTGGCCAGAAAACCCAGGGGGTTCCATATGTTACCATTCCTTAGGTCTTGTAGTTTCTAGTCAGTCTTCCTTAATGGCCCCTCTTTTCAGAACTTGACTGCTTTATGTATGGTGTCCAGGGTCCTGGGTAGGGCCGGGGAGATACATATCTTTGCCATCTTGTTTGGGAACAGAACCTGGGCCATGAGGGGGGTGTTGGCAGTGTCTGCATCTGTCTTCTTTCTAACCTGGCAGACGAGAACTAGTCTGTGGTAACTGGCTCAGGCCCTTTTTGTTTCATTATGTGTACGCCAGGCGGGGACCTGTCTCCCCTGGAGTTGGCTGATGTGAATAGAGATGGCCTTCGGGACGTGCTTCTCTCCTTTGTGACAACCAGGAATGGGACTGAAGGAGGTAAGAAATGCATCTTCTGGAGGCTGCCAAGGGGGCGGTGTTAGCTTCGGGAAAGCAGGAAAGCTTTAGTCAGCTTCCCAAGCTGACAATGTACAAGGGAGTCTGCAGGGGGCAGGTCACTACAGATCACCATGAATGATGTGCGTCATCAGAAAGTTCCCAGTGTAAATAAAGGTCACTTCAAGAAACCGGGGCCCAGAATGGAGGTGCACATACACGCTTTAATCCCAGCACTCAGAAGGTAAAGGGCAGGCCAGTTTCTGTGAATTCAAGGCCAGCCTGGTCTTTAGATTGAATTCTAGGACAGCCAGTGGTAGAGGGACCCTGTCTCAAAGTGACCTCTGTTCCAAAGAAGGAAGGAAAAGAGGGAAGGAGTGAGGGAGGAAGGAAGAGAGAAGGAAAAGGAAACCAGAGTGAGTGAAAGTGGAGGCTGGAGAGCTTTGAGTGGTGATGCAGGCAGGTGCAGAAACTGATTCTGAGGAGTGACTTGCCCATACCTTAGAGTGACAGACAGCCTTAGTAATTAGGTTGTGTGTGGGTTTTCTGTCAGCTTATTGGCTACATTTGAACCTACTGATAGGTTAACTACGTCTGCATTTTGCAGTCAGTGACCCCACTGCTCAGTTCCAGGCCTGGTGGTGAAAGACCCCTGAGCGCTCAGGCCCCAGGATTCCGGCCCAGGACCGAGGCCACCCCAATCACCGGGCGGAGTCAAAAACTTGATGCAAACAGCACGAGGCTTTATTGTAGTTGTTTAACGAGCTAACCCCATGTTAGCTCAGGCCTTTCATCCACCCACCATGGCGGGTGGCTAGGAAAGACGAGTCTGCATAGAGATCTTATAGGGCCTCGTAAGGGGAGTGTCTAGGGGTATGCACAGGCTCAGGATTGGTGTGGCTCCAGGCTTGGAGGGCTTGCCCTGTGTTGATTGGTCAACTGGTTGTTATGGCCCTTAGGCCCTCGAGGGCGGTTGCTATGCTCTGTGCATCATTGCTGTGTACTTGTCTGTAAAGCACACCCAGAGCCATAAAGCATAGCACCACCAGCTAACTTCTGATTGGTTCCTTGCCACGAGGCAGACATCTGACCTCTAGTGACCAAGGCAAGGTCAGGCAAGCACGTGCTAGGCTGTTATGGCTGCGGAAATGGGGAGCTGGTCCCTTCAATGGGATTTCCGGTCCCAGCAGCACTGGCTCTACAGCTTCTGTAGTTTTTAACTAAATCTCTATCATTCTATTTATTAATAAAGACTCGGGAGTCAGATGCTGGGGTGAAAACCTGCTAGCTCAGAGAGGCTGAGAAGCAACCAGCTGACCTTCCTTTTTTGCCAGAGACCCATCAAGAGAGAATCTCTCCAGCTGTCCCAAACCAGAAAGCCCAAGAAAGCCCAAGCCCCTCCCTGCTCCTTCCTGTGTGTCTATCAGTCTTCCTGCTCCTCTGTACTCTCTAGGGCTAATTCCTGCCAACTAGTTGCTGGCTCCGCCCCCATTCAAAGTTGATAACACAGTCTCAGGTTTCACAATGTGAGTGTGTGTTGTGTGTTGGGGGAGGAGCAGAGCTGGCCTCAGGTGTTATTCCTCATTTTGAGACAGTGTCTCTCATTGGCCTGCAGCTGGCTAGCAATCCTCAGAAACTGCCTGCTTGCCTTCCTGGCACTGCGATTACAAGAGTGTGCCACCTCCCCAGGCTTGTTTACGTGGGTTCTGGGGCTTGAACTCAGGCTTTCTTGCTTTTGTAGCCAGCACTTTGCTGACTGGGCCATCTCCCCAGACAATTTTCCACTGCCTGTTAGATTACAGTGAACGTCGATTCCATCCTGCTCTCGCAATCCTGGCAGGGTTGGTCATGACTTACTCACCTTTGCACATGGACGTTTGGGGGACTGCAGGCTTCCCTTTCCACTTTCAGTTTAATTCTCCAGGTGTGCCCTCCCTGAGAAGGCTAGGCAATGTGGAGGATATTTATAGGCTCCCTAGCCAGCTGGGAGTGAGTTAGGAGAGGGACTTAACTTCCCTGGCTTCCTCCCAGCTGGTGTTAGAGCAGGACAGCGACAACTTGACCATCATAGCTGATCTCAAGCTGGTCCTTTTAGAGGATTTTATTTCTGAATTCCAGTAATCTCTTCCTCCTCTGTCCCTGGGGACATTAACAACTCTGAGGGGCTGATGGGGCCCTCCATTCTGGTACACCTTTGTCAATGGTCTCCTTATTACACTAGCTGAGCTTGCAGTTTCTGGGACTCTGTTACACCTGACAACCAAAAAACAAAGAAACTGCCCCATTTCCATGATAGTTACACAGGGTCCTATTTGCCTGCAATGTCTACCAAATTGGTGATGACTGTAACATACCAGCTGATTCAAGAACCCTACCCAGAGGGTGAAGAAATCCTAGGCCATGCTTTTTCATCTTTAGGCCCACAGTGAGCAATAGGTATGCTTTAGGGATTTCCGTACTATCCATTTGCCTGATATCACTAAAAATGCCTTTGGAAACACGTTTGATGTATAGATGCAGCTTTGTGACAGAGAAAACTTCTGGGTTTCTTTCACATGATCTTAGCTCTGACTTCATTTTCCTGGTTTTGATTCATTCACCTTTGCAGTTAGGTTAGGAATGCTGAAGTTATTTGGCATTTTGCCTACTTTGCTTTACATCAAGATGTGAAAGACCCCCGGATGCTCAGGACCCCAGGATCTCAGCCCAGGACCTCGGTCACCCCAATCACCATGCAGAGGCGGAAACTTGATGCAAACTGCACGAGGCTTTATTGTGGTTGTTTAACGAGCTAACCCCATGTTAGCTCAGGCCTTCCATCCACCCGCCATGGCGGGTGGCTAGGAAAGACGAGTTTGCATAGAGATCTTATAGGGCAGTGTAAGGGGCGTGTCTAGGGGTACGCACAGGCTCAGGATTGATGTGCCTCCAGGCTTGGAGAGTTTGCGCTGTGTTAATTGGTCAACTGGTTGTCATGGCCCATAGGCCCTCCCAGGGTGGTTGCTGTGCTCTGCAAGTCATTGCTGTACACTTGTCCGTAAAGCACACCCAGAGCCGTAAAGCATAGCACCACCAGCTAACTTCTGATTGGTTCCTTGCCACAAGGCAGGCACCTAACCTCTAGTGACTAAGGCAAGGTCAGGCAAGCACGAGTTAGGCTGTTTTGGCTGCCAAAATGGGGAGCTGGTCCCTTCAGATGCATAGCTTTGCTTTACATCAAGACCCATAGCCACAAGACTGAGGGTTGGACACTGTGCTGAGAAATATGATTTGCCCGCAGATTGTAAGAAGTAAGAATGTAACTGCATTTGTTACTTTTTTATCCTGTGACAAAATAAACAGAAAGAGTTTATTTTGGCAATGAGCTCCAAAAGCCCTCCCTGCCCTGGTGACACACTTTCTCCAGCAAGGGTCACATCTTAAAGGTTCCACAATGTCCTCAAATGTTGCCTTCAACTAAGGACCAACTGTTCAAACACCTGAACCTGTTGGGGACATTTCTCAGTCAAACGGCTACAATAACTCTTGTTAGGTGCTTCCTGTGTGCTGTGCTGTGTTGGAGGCACATAGCACATCGGATGAATTTGCTCCTCAACACAATCCTACCAACTAGGGGAGTACTTTTGTCCCCTTTTACAATGAGGAAACTGAGGCACACTGAGGGTAAGGAACATGTTAGAGTCCCACATCTGATAAAGGTAGACCTGGAGTTTCAAGTCCAAGAACTCGATTCTGTAGTTCATATCCTCGACCCTCGTGCCATATGGATGAACCTATAACCCACAATGCTTTGTGCCACTGGGGAGAGAGGGGTATAACTAGTTGCTCATGACTCATCCAACAAGCTTGCACCGGCCACAGCAGGCACTGTTCCCTCCTCCATGGTTGTGCTGATTGTTTAGAGAGCTTGGCAGTAGGACTGTGATTCCACCTACAAGAGCTGCAGTGTCACCTGGAAGGTGAAATCCTTCACCTCCCGGAAAAACACGAGTCAGAGAGTGTGTCTGTACTCAGTGGGGTCTCAGGCAGGAAGAAGAGCACGGGATTGGACAGGAAAAGTCTAGAGGTTACACCGACTGCTACCCTTGGCAGGAGGTCGAACAGGGCCGGCCACACCCTGTTTCCTGTTTTGTTTGGTTAGCACTGCTGAGGAACAGGAAGACTGAACCTTTGAAAACGATGGTGACTGGACGTATAAAGTGTGAAATGACTGAAGATGTCCATTCCTGAGAGTAAAAGTAAAGCTGGCAGGAATTAGGATTGTTCTTAAGTCACGTCCTGGCCTGAACAGCTGTGGTTCTGCTTCCTTGGACCTGGGTCTTGTCGCTCCAAGTGTTCTCTCTGCCCCAAGTGTTCTTCTCCCACCCAGGTGTAAACTAGAGAGCTGCAGACAGCAAAGCCTCCTGGCTGTCCCTACTCAAACCTTCAGGCCATTTCTGAAAACAGCCTCTTCTGCTTGGGGAGCATTTGCTGCTGGGGACGAGGGTTAGGATATACTCCCCACAGCGCAGGGATTCTAGGTCAGCCTGTGTTTCTGCACATTCCTTTCCCTTGACAAGCACTACTCAGTGTTCTGGATTTTATTCCTGTCTTTTCCTTTTGATTTTCAAATTACGTTTAGTGTGTGTGTCTGTATGTGTGTGTGTGTGTGTGTGTGTGTGTCTGTGTGTGTGT